TCTCTCTCTCTCTCTCTCTCTCTCTCTCTCTTTCTCTCTTTCCTTTAATAACCTTTAATAACATTACATCTCCCCTCTTTTTTCTTTTTCCTTCCCCGGTCTAGCCAGAAGTCTTTAGACTTTATTCTGTATGGGGTGATGAACTCTCAGTAACAGTAGCTTCCCCTTCAAACACAACTGCATTTTAGCCAGGCTGAGAGACTGGGTATCAGCTCATTAAAGGTGCACAGTGGGGTTCTTCTAGAATAGTTTCAGGTCCTCTGATTCAGCCCTGTTCTGAACTCTGGAGATTACCAGTACTCAGTAAGCCTTTTTAGCTTACTAATGTGTTAAGGAACACGGCTTTTGTCACCCTGTTTTTGAAACGCAGTATCTCTTTCTTTCCTTGGGCGCCATATGTTCATTAGTTTATAAACTTAGAGCATTATGTTTTTGTGTTTTTAAAGATTCATTTTTACTAATGTGTATGTGTTTATCTGCATACAGTTACCCTTGATTGCCAGAAGAAGGCATCTGATCCCCTGGATTTAGAGTTGCAGGCCCTTTGAACTGCCTGAGGTGAGTGTTGAGAACTGAATTTGGTCCCCTGCAAGACCACTAAATCACTTAACTATCTCTCCAGCCCCTCTCAGAACATTTGGCATATACAACCTTCATTATATCTATGACACTAGGATTATGTATTTATATTTTTGTTTTTTGTCTCAACTTCTATATATTGAGGTCGCAGGATGTTGGGCAATAGCTTTGTACAGAAAATATCTTATACCCCATAGGATGGCTGACATATCTTAGACATTCAATGCATAGCAAACTAATCCAAGATCTGCAAGGTCTCATGGGGCTTCTTGTTACAATCTAGGGGTAAAGGAAGAGATGAAAAGCACTATGTGTGTTGTGGATTAGGAGACTTCACTCAATATCCAGCCCTTCTCTACTAACGGATGCTTTAGAAGGACATCTGCCCTTGTGCATAGAGACAGAGCATTCTGCCTTGGATCAACTCAAGCAGGACCCTCACCTTTGCACATCCTCCTGTCTTCTCGCAGAACGTATCCAACAGGGCACTTGCATTCATAGGACCCATAGGTATTTACACAGCGGAAGGCACAGAGTAGAGGATTCTGGGCACATTCATTTATATCTACAGTAAGAGAACATAAAAGAATGAACCAGTAGCACCAAGAATGTCAAAAAGAGAGAAATGTGTTTTTACTAAAAGTCAAAAGTCTTCCTTATCATAGGCATGGATGGATCCAGAAAATTATAAAAATGAGTTGGTTATTTTATAGCTGGAATAAATATGGTGGCCGTATGTTCTGGATCTCCAGGCACAGCTCCCAAGCTTGCTGTCCTGGTGTAACTAGGACATGATTTACATGAATGAGGAACAACAGGTACACTTTGCAGACTTGGAAGACTCAGGTTGACCAGTTGCTGCTTCCTTTGTACATGGACTATAGATCATCTTTGCTCCCTTCAACTAAAGCAGCTGTGGTCAAAAGAGAAGCCAAGCTCTCTACTACTCTTAGTAACTTCTCCTTCTCCAAACAAAGAGACAGCGGGGATTCTCTGCTCAAACAGTGTTCTTGTCATTTTATACTTAGAGAAACTCAGTTTACACACATGCCCTCTACTGGGAAAAATGACTTTTCTAGAGTACATGGCTCAGAAATATCAGGACATGTTTTCAAAAGCAAGAGGATGAAACCAAACGTCTTCGATGATCCTATTGTTCCCAGAGAACAACAATGTGTGTGGAGGACAGGACTGAGCATCCAGGCCAGGCTTTAGTCACAGCCTCAAAAGGCTCCCGACACTCTGAAGGTGCCAACAGTCCATATCTCTCATGATTCCTTGAATACCACCATTTTCCTTCACCTCTCCCATTCTTTTCCTACACCAGTGAACCCCATCTTGAAGGGCTTGTAGATCATCTGGACAGCTGCTGGGCTCGGCTTTTAGAGTTTGTGATTTAGTGATCTAGGATGAGGCCAGAAAACTTGCATCCCCTAACAATATCTCAGGGGAATATGAGGCAAATAGTCTAGGGACCAACCACTCTTTGGCACTCTCTAGCTTTTCTTTCTTTTCCGTACTTCCTTCCAGGCAATCATACTGACAAATACTTTTCAGATTTCTCTATGGGTTAGGCAACCTCTCCTCTGGGATCGCCTCCAGATGACCACAGGATTGTCAGTGGTCATCTAGCTCTGTGGGCAGATGTTTCTAAGAGGAGAACAGCGGGACACAAAAGAAGTGGGGGACGAGGAGGAAAGTCTTGGAAACAACAACAACAACAAAAGAAAATTGAGAGTATGACAGGAGGTAGTAAATGAGACAGAAGTTGTATTGAGATGTAAGCAGGAAGACACACTAGCGAGCACTCTGTTATATACACTATAACTTCTGCCACAAGCCATTTATATTGTTTTTTTATATTTCCTAACCATATGAGGCCACAGAGAAGAATGATACAACAACCTGCCAGGTTCAGATGTTCTTAATTCTCTATGCCCTAAAAGGTATTTAGTATTAAGAACTATAATCAAGCAGCTGCTCCCATGGTCAGTATAGGCAACTGTCTCTTCTGTGTCTGAGACCCTTACCTTCACATGTCATCATTGGACCGGGCTCGAATCCCTCCTCACAGGTGCATTCAAAACCTCCAATCACATTCTTGCAGGTCCCATTGCCACAAGGATTGCCCACGGAGCATTCATCGGTATCTGTAACGGATATGAAGTGGAGAGGAAATGAGAGGAGGTAAAATAGAGCTCAGGCTCCCATATCACCTTTCATTGTCTGAGTTCTTGGATCTGCGCTGTCTTGCTTAGTTCTCCTGTTCTTACAAGGAGGGAAATCTTCTGATCACTGGTTTATAGCTGAAGTTTGCACTTGCTCAAAGGCAGAGACAGCGAGAGATATGAATGTCTAGCCCTTATACCTTCCACGTGGTTTTCTGCAGCCTGTCCTTATGGAGGAGTGCATCTTTCCCTGGGAGTAGATGTTCTAATGGCTAAAATAAGGCTCCTACGTGCAGCCAGGGGGTTCTGCTGGTTCGAAGACAAAGACTCTTTCCAATTGGTCCCGCATTACATCACTGCATAAGAAGGCTTACATATGACGGAGTCTTGCCAGATATAAAATAGAAGACTACCTAAGATTAAATAAAATATACTGGATAAAACCCAACATTCAAGTAGATTTTGTTGATTCTGTTAAAAACCTGGTGTTTTACATTAGGCAGAAAAAGAAAATACTAGAAAAAAAGAGAAAAGAAAACATGTTTAGGGCATGGTCTTTCTAAACAACTGTGGAGAGAGAAAATATTTTACCAAAAAAAAAAATCTGTAAAAAATATAGATTCTTCCTAACCCATCCATCTGGAGCATCCACTGTTCTTATTTCTGGCCAAAGCCTTAGGGCGAATATTTTCCTTTGGGAAAGAAAGAACCCTATTTTTAGAAACAACGTTGCTATTTTAGATATTGGAAGCCCAGGAACATGGTGGGCTCTCCTCAAGGGCTACTCCTTCCAGGGGAGGAGGATTTTTTTGCACATACACAGCAGCAAACTGAAGATGCCAAAAAACTAACATTGATAAACTTTGTTTCTGTTTACTTACTAAACCTTACTTTACAGTCTGGAACACTGTATCTTCCTTGAGTTAATAAAAACAACAGTATCATTGCAGTTTAGAACTGCTAGGGTAATTAGACACAGACCATTTCATTTGCATAGTAGTACACCCAAGGCGGGAGAGGTTGAATAATATACTTATGTCCCACCCCACAGACAGACATTCAGTGTTGATCACACATAATCCATGTTGCAGCAATACTTTGTGAGAGTTCTTGGACATAACATTTAAATCTAGCAATCGGAATTAAGACTAAGTGGTCCACATAGGAGCCATTCTTGGACATTTTAATGAAAAGGCTAAAATAAGACACCAAATAGGGTGAGTGGCTTTCCATATTGCCAAATATATAAGATACATAGGAAACGTTGTGTTTTTACATGCCAAAATTATAAACTATGAGCTCTAACAGTATATTTTAAGTTTCACTGAAACTTCTGTTCTCTGTTGTCCTTTTCAGTATCTCTTAGGACATGTCCAGTACCTGCCTTCCAAGTTAGACTATAAGGGTCATGCAAGGAAGGATCGTCCTTGCTTGGTTCACCGCAGTAGCTCCCTACCCAGCTCAGGTGGAGACCACCTAGCAGTCTAAATGAAGAAGCCCTCTAACGAGGAACAGAACTCAACTCACACCTTGGGTCAGTAAAAGACAAATCTCTCAATTTTTGCATATAATAATTCCAAAGGGAGGGGCTGAATCACTACTCACCCACACACTCATTCCCTTCCAGAATATAACCAAAGGGACACTCGCAGCGATACGAGCCATCTGTGTTGATGCACTGACCATGTTTACAGACATCAGGTTCTTTGCATTCATCCATGTCTTAAGTGAAGAAAGAAAGAACAATTAAAAACCAAGGTATTTTCTTAAACTATTATCATGTCGGTGTTCAGTAAGTGAATATCTAATATCACAATACAACTGTCATCCAAGTGATAAGACATTAAATAGAAGGGATTATTTCTCCCAGGTAGATAAGGAGAAATAAGACCCAGAGGAAGGAAAGAGAAGAAGCAGGAGGACCTTGCTTGGGCACTCACCGACTGCTGAGTCATCAGGGCCCACAATGATCCCACTTCCAAAGGGGCAGATCTGGCGGAAAGCCTCTGTGGTGGAGAGATATACTCATTAGTGGGAAGACCAGAGACAATGACAGGCTTCCCATGCTCCTATCCATTGTGTGGTTGTGACCACATGCCGCACACAGTGAGAGACAGGAACAAGATGCCCAGAAACAAGGAGACATCACCAAGACTCTCAACAATGTGCGTATCTTTTGGATGACTCTGATTTATTATTACAAGAGAAAAATAACTACCATGCTCTTCTGGTAAAATACGTTTAAATGGCATTCCAGTTACACGTAGAATTCGATTATCCTATTGGCTGTAAGGCTTACACTGTTACTGATTGCATGGTCATATATATGTGTATGAGACCATGCTTCGAGAAACAAAGATGTTAGACTTACCATCTGGCTCAGTGGGGCACAACTCACAAGGGTCTCCCCAGCCTTCTCCCTTCAAAGCACAGCAGCATTCCTGCTTGGAATGGTTCCTGGATTTGGGTGAGGAACACTTTCCACCTTCAAACTTCGCATAGCAGTAGCTCATTCGTAAATCTACAACATAAATCCACAGTACATTCTAGTTGCTTTCCTACTGAATCTTCATTGTATGATAGTCGATCAATGCATTCTCTCATAAACTATAGCAATATTCCAAAAGTGATCAGAAGCGCAAAAGAGCTGAGACTGCTAAAGTCACAGACAGCCTACAATAAGATAGGGTGAACAGATTCGTGTTGTGTTATCTTTTTCCTTCAGTTTACCTGCTACTTCAAAGCAACCTGATATGAATAGTGAACTCTAAACCTGCCAGTCTTAATAGACTTTCATTAACAATGCCAGGACTGGAACATCCTCCGATAGAATCATTCATGAAGATGTCCTTGCATGATGGCTTCATTTACGTGGGTTTTGTACAACTTTTCAGGAAGCAGGAGAGCCTCTTGATTCTAAGACATACTGTCATTGTGTGTCCTATACACTCTGGTACCAAAGACAACCCCACACCACAGCATATGAAGAAATGGTAAATGTATGGACTAGTCACCTGAGCCACCAGGGGAATTTACTGAGGTAGCTATTCATGGGATTGTGGGGACAAACTCCAAGTGGGACTTTCCATAGATTTTACACTCATGAGCACACAGCTACATCAAATTAAGTTTCCAACCAAAGTTTGTTCAGTGCAATAGAAAGAGGAAATAAAAAGAAACAGAAGGCAGGACTATGGGCAGGTGTGAGCAGAATAATCTTTCTTTCAAAGGATATATCTATTTCTTTTCACTATTGCTCTGGTAAACCCAAAGAAGAGGTGATCTCTTCCTTATAAAATGCTCCAGTGTTAGTTGACATAATTTTGGAAGCCAACTATTCCCGTCCTCATAGAGCAGATTGGGTAAGTCTGAGAAGTGAGCTCATCTAGGGGCCTGGAATGTGGTTTTCTTTCTTTCTTTTTTTTTTTTTTCCCAAACCTGACTTCTAGAGCCACGCACAACGTCTCTTTTATTATACAGTGGCTAAGCTCTGCAGATCTGAGGACATGCTTCCACATCCCTTTTGCACCCTTCCTCCTGCCTAGTTCTGTCTACCTCTGACTTCTGCATTCTCTACCATCAGTTTTCCAGTCCAGAAAACAAACTCCCATGGCAGTGTTTGTCACCCAAATATTTACTCTGTGGAGAAATGTCAAGACTTAACTAATTCTCATTTCTTGGGATATGCCTTTCTCATTTGCTTTATTCAAATCCTTTGTCCCATCCATTGTTTTGCATAAACAGAGTTGTTTATTTATTTATTTATTTTTTACCACTTATTCCTACAGCTGTCCTTAAACTGCTGACCTTCTTCTCAATCCAGTTCAGTGTTCAATCTTCCCCACACCACTCTCTATACCAAAAGAAAATAAATAGCTTGGATTTAGACTGAGACTCAAATGCATAAAGTCCCAGTGACATCTTGTGTTTCAAAACCCCAAATCAGTGGCACTGTACAACTTCTTCGTTTTATGCCTAATAGAAGCCTGATTCAATTTGACACCCTATAAGACAAATCTCTGTCTCAAAATTTCAGGTTCCAACAGAACTTGCACTCAAATAGGAGATTTGCTTTCAGTCATGTTGTTCCTCTAGGTAAGCTTATCACTCAAAAGTGTACCGCACTGTGAAACAGCTTAGTGCTCACGTATACCTCAGCCAGACTTCACTAGGATGCCTGCTTGACAGTCCATCTGCAAACAACCCTTCCTGACCTCTGAAACTTCTCTGGAACTATGACAGTCACTTTCTCTGCTTGCATTCCTCAGCTCTTGGCTGAGGATGTGGCAGAGTTCTCACAGCTGGGCTGCCTCTTCCTGCAATGTCAGCCTGCCCTGTGACAGGCCTGTGCAAATTGAATTAATAGCCTTTGAGTTTCCTCTGGCTTGCCACATGGGTAGATTCGCACCTGGCTTCTCACTGCTTTCTTTCCAAATGCAGGCCAAGCGAGCCAAAGACACACATGAAGTCAGGCTCTATGGGGCTGGCCTGGAGCACACAGGCAGAATAGCTACTTGACTCTAGCTGTGCCTCCATCACTACCCTGAAACCCTTGTGGTCATCTGATAGTCCTCTACAAGATCAAACCAACCAGAGAATTTGCAATCTTTCCCTTCATTTTTCTGCATAAATCTACTGATAAAATAAAACCATAACCAGACAGAATAATAGTAACAAGAGTTCTCAGGCACCTCAGAGACATCAGAACTGTGTCATGCACACAATAAAGTTGCTTGGGTGGGTATTGGTGTTGTTTGGGTGAGCAAACTGGATTTCTACACCAATGACTGGCTTCTCTGGTCTAAAACTTGGCAGGCCTAGATTCCAAAGCCATATTTTAGAATCTTAAATTATATTCTATACCTATTATTTAGTAATATGAACCAAATCACACACATAAAGTAAACAAACAGCTAAAAGTGCAAAGCAACAAATAGACACGGACAGAAATTCTAAACTAAATATTTAGGGGCCTTCCTCACCCTGTAATTCATTAAACTCTTTTGTATAAGTATAGCCAAATAACAATTGCATTGCTTGGGAATGTCCAAACAAGTTTCTCGGTTTTATCCAAACATAGTTTTGTGTTTATCTTCTAAGTCTTTTAAAGTTTTTTCTTTTATTTTAAAGTTAACCTGGCAAGCCCTTGAATATTTTCACCAGGTATTATTGTTTCCCCAAAGGATATGTAGGGTAAACATGGGGTGGGGGAAGATGATCAGTTTGCATTTTCTCTCTCTGAGGATTTCGGTTTGCACCCACATTCACTTAAGCTGCAACTTCTGAGGTGGGAACCTATAGGTGATCTCTTCCAGGTTCTGTAGTATCAGTGACTCTTGGGGGTGCCCCTCTCCTAAGAGCCTTTCTGCATCTGTGCTTGTTGGAGGAATAGAGGTGTAAGTGCCAAGAAAGTTGAATAAGCAACTGAAACTTGATGGATGAGTTTTTAACCTCAGAAATAAAAGTGAACCTTCGGGCATATGGTAATCATTAGACCTGTGGGTGAATGAAACATCTTCCCGTTCATAAGGACTCAGAGCTTTGCCATGTTTAAAACATAAGACCATAACAAATAAACACAGAATAATGAAAGTCCAAAGCTTTCAGAGGCATTTACCTTGGCACCTTCTTCCAGTGGAGGACAGGGAGAACCCTTCCGGACACAGACATTTGAAGCTGCCCTCAGTATTGCTGCAGGTCCCCAAAGCACAGATTTCTGGCTCTTCAACACACTCATCAATATCTAAAAGAATTATCCACATCAGAGTCAGAATGTCCCCAGGACATCATCAGTCACTACACCGAGACATACAGGCTCAGTAGGAGAGTTGTTTCAGTACCTTTGCAACAGGGAAGCGATTGCCTGTGATAGAATTTTGAAGTGAACTTTTAAAAGTTACTTTTAACAAGTCTTGATGTAAAAATGGAATCTGTAAGAGTTACAATGATGAGCCTCTTACACTGTGCAGGGCAGTCACAGAAATGAACTCCTTGCTTGTGAAGGAGCAGGGCAAATCAGAGAAGTTGTATTAACTCCACACCACGCTGAGCTGGGAAAGAGGCCAGGAGCTCCAGCACCCTACCTCACCATTGCACAACTCGAATCCAGTGCTGAGCTCAGTGTAAGGTGATTTCCCTCCACTTGCTGATGGAGCCTTCCCAGCACCCCGTGCGGTAGCATTCCCAATACCCTACTGCTGCAGCCTTAAAGACATTAATGGTCACATTACTAAGCACAATCCCATCCCAGAAGATGATTCTGATCTGCAAGTTAGTTTTTCTGAAGATATCAAAATTCCTTTCTTGTATAGACCAGGGCTTCGCTTTCAACACAGAGCTAATAGGAACTGGATACATGTGATTTATGGCCTGTTTTCTTCAGAACATCAATCCATCATATTGCCTGGAAGAACCGACCTATTGAGAATTCAGAGTAGCTTGGTTAACCAACATGTTGTGTCATAAGGGTTTTTCCTAGAGATTCTCAGCTTGTGTATGTTGGCCTGACTGTATAATTAAGTATTCTCTTTCTCTTTCCAAATTATCTGTTTAGGGAATAATACATGATCGTTCTACTTTTATGAAAAACAGCCACTCGACTGCAAACTCACTCATTTCCTGTGACTTTCACCTAGAATTTATAGTGAAGAAATGTCTTTATGGTTTTAAATCTGGACTGTACTGTTTTAGTTAAAAATTTTAAAAAATTATATACTATCTCTTGGGTCATGTAACTCTTTTGCTTCATATGTGTGTAGTTCTGCCTACAAAGTG